CAAACAGCATCATTCGTCGAGACAACTTTTTCATTTCTTTCCTCGTTTCGAAGCAACGTTTAGAAAAAAAAAAAAAAAAAAAGAAAAAGAACGAACGAACGAAATATTTTCAAGTCGATCGAATATCAATATCGATGTGGGCTCTGATTTATTCAGCCTCGTACGATCCTTTCAAAGAGGCCAACGAGAGAGTATATGAGTGGGAAGGAAGAAATATCGACGAGCATCGCTATAATTGTGATTTCTCGCGAGTAGATCTCTCGACAGGGTGTCTTCGACGATAAAAACGACGGCCTGAATTCTGGCGATCCTTCGATCGACAACTCATTATTTTATAACCTCGACGTAGGTATTCGCTCGAAACGGAAAAAAGAGTAGGAATACGAGTCGTATACGAGTTGTATGAAAAGTCGATCGAATAATGTGTTTCGAATAATGATATACGCTCGATTACATAAAATTATCGTTGCGTTAGAAATGAAGAAATGTTGATGCGAATGTTTATTTGCTGCGAAGTTTGTCTTACAATTAAATTTATTAACCGAACAATATAATATGTGGGATATGAAACAATGGATTCGTTGATAAGTGGAAATTTTGGGTTTTCTTTTTTTGTAAATATAACTAAAAGAAATATATTTTATTAAATATATATACGCATTTTTACGTAGATGAATATAATAGAATGATAAGCAAGACGAAAAATTAAAAGCAAGATTGTCAAAGTTTATTATAGTTTAGACACGATTTCTTCAATACCGACGTTCTTAATATATAATTATTCTTTAACAACGTATCAATTTAATAAGTATTATGCTTCTCTTGATTGTAGCATGGTAAATTACATCGATGAAAATAATAAAAAAACATCACGTAATAAAAAACGTAATAAAATCAAGAGAGTAACCAAATTTATTACACAATTTATAATTTCAATAAGATACTTGAACATAGTAATCGGTCGATAAGTTAAATTACGATAATTCGTGCCTTATCAACTTTAATTAATCTATTAATTAATCTATTTAATTTGTTGAAATACTTCTTACGTAATATAAAAATTTTAATCCGATGAAGTAAAATTCTATAAAAAGAATGGACATCTCATTATTTGATCACCGAACGCGCCCATATTTCGCACGTGTGACACGTAACGAAAGCGACGCGACGGTGCCACTCTTGTCTTCCATTTGCAGCACATTCGAAACGAGAAATCTGGTTACTTTATAAACTCGTTACGTATTGGCTGAGACAAGTGCGAGTGGACGCGTGGTTAAGCAACATCGAGGGTAATTCGTCGATATGTTTTCCCAAACCGGACGATCTTCGTATAAACTTTTATTTTAAGCCGTATCGTTCTCGTTTCGTACGGTTTTTAGCACGTAACCTGTACTTTAAATCAATTAGGATGCTTAAGGTAACAGCCCCGATACATAATCGAGAAGTTTCGTTCGATCCTTGAATGGTATGTAAAATATTCTTTCCAATCGTAAAAATTACCGTCGCTTTTGGCAGTTGATCGCTTAACCTAACCTATATTTATCGCGGCTTAGTAGAACCAACGTTAGACTGGTAGGTGTAAAACTAATAAGATTTCTGGAACTAAGAATAACGTTAGGCTCAACCTTAAGTCTGTAGTTTTGCGGAAATCTAAGGAAATTTAATTATCACGAATAACCTTATTTGGTGATTTCGATGAAAATTATTTTTATCCGATTAAAAACTCTGCCAAACTTTCAAATTTTAAACGTAAAAGTAATGTATATTCTATACATTAAATGTTCAATTCACGTTCAACTGCGTATTCTATTAATTTTTAATATATTATTCAAATACGGTTTACTTTTTTAAAATATTTCCTTGCTTACAATGGGAAGCTATTATAATTACACAAACTAATGATATTAATATAATAACCTATAATAATTATTCTATAATTACATTGATATAATACATAGATATTATTACGAATTTAATAACATTTTTCTCGTATTGAATTTGTTTCCAACATATAACGATATTATAATATATATAACGATATTAGATCAATCAGTTAATCTTACACTGATTATATTATAATGCTTCTTTCGTAACCTTTCGATCTTCGTTTATTAATTATTAAATAGCAATTAATGTTAAAAGAAGCCGATAATAATAATAATACGAATTACAAAACGATAGAAATTAATCACATTAACGATACGAATAATCAACAACAATCGTGGACGACATCTCATCTCCAACTATTATTGAAAAATAATAAAAATTCTTATCTTTACACCATCGAAATATCGATCCGTACGAGTAACTTTCTCGCTCGCTTTTATTTCACGACTCGAAGAAAATAAATTCGCTTAGAGACTCGAGCGCAAGCTCGATAACAAATTTATCAGTGATTCTCGGTGAAAGGACGAGTAGCTTTAATCCCCAGGAAAATTGAACATTGACCGTGTCTCGTTATACGACTCGTACGATAAAAAGAAGGCGAAGGGGGAAAAATAAAATAGAGAAGGAAATGATAAAAGTAACGCTCGAATTGATGTAATTACCGGGCGTGGGGGAGAGCGTTATATTGCATTTCGATGCAATTACGATTCATAATCCCGTTTTCGTCGATGTTACGGGTCTGGTGAAACTCGTCGGGGCGTTATTGTTATAAATGGCGCGCGTTTCCGACTCGTCGTGTCTCGCGTATCGAATGTTAATTCGACGACGCGCATTCCGGGCCCGTCCATGTCTTTTATCGTTGTTTTATGACGTTGTTGGTGGACGTAAGCGCGACGCAACCGGCGTCGTTTTCCTTTTCGTTTTAATTGAATTATTCAGGATCGATCGGCCGCCGAAGGATTACCCCCCCTAGAGATGATTACATTCTCCGTTATTACTCGGTAGAGCGTTTATTATCTATACGAGAGAAATGAAAACGTTGCTCGAGACTTTATTTATTTCATTTTTATTTAGAATATATATATATATATATATATATATACATATATGAAAGAAAATGAAATTGTTTGGAGAAATCGTTTATTCGAGGACGAATTAGTATTGTTATTGGAGACCGAATAAATTGGAATAACAGTCTGTAATTTTATTACGATCTAAAAGTTTGTTTCTACTTAATCATTAATTTGTTATTTTATTCGTGATATTTTACGTTGTGTATACAGGTTCAACTTCGTGAAACCATGCAAACGAAAAAAAAAAAAAAAAAAAAAAGAAGTGACATTTATACTCGATCAATTTCACTCGACTATATACTTAATTCTTAAGTTAATTGTACGTTTTTTATTACGAGAATCAATAAAATTCTCGAATAAATGGAAAAGATTAGAATCAAGGTTATTTTTAACAATATCCCCGTTCGATCGTCAGTTATGTTTGCTACAATTGTAAAAAAAAAAAAAATGAAAATGTGTCATTTGAAATTTTAATGAATTTTATGCAAAAGTGTCATTGCTATATGTAAATTTCAGGTCAACGTTTTGAATTTCTTTTCTTTTATAATAAGAACTTTCAAACGCTGAGAACAATTATATTATACGCGTCGTAAGTTAAATTTTTCTAGCTAGCTTTGTTCCTTCTTTCTGCGAAAGGATAATAAGGTATGCGTAACGTTGAGAAAACGTTGGTTTAAATAATTCCTAATCCTGAAATTAAATTTCCTCCTCTTTGTTCGAGGTGCATCGATAATTTCGTGGTTCGTAACAATCCATCGTGGACACGATGCTCGATGCAATGGCCATGATAGCGGAATCTGTTATAGTAGAATTCGTTCAGGGTCGGTGGAAAAAATGTGCTTACACGGTTGCAGTCACGCTTCGCTGTACACTCGACATTTTGTACACGCGACGTGACTATTTGTTGCCAGGATTCGCCTCGAGATTATACGTTACCCGTGCTGTTTCGTCCGCCAGTTTTGTCTCTCGTGCGTAATGCGTAGAAGTTACGCGTTGGCCGCGTATTACATTGCGAAACAGTATATTACACTATATATTAAGAGCCACGAGGCGGATGTTTTGTTGTTAAGCTCTTAAACAGCTGTTAAATTTATATCATTTTTTTTTTTTTCTTTTGCTCGAAGAAGAATAAAGATAGATTTTGTGAAAAATTTCTCGTTTTTTTTTTCTTTTTTTCTCGTCGATGAACGATTTAAAAAAAGCGTTCTGAAATTATTAAATATCTGTAAACATCTTTAAAAAAAGAAAAAAAAAGAACGAGAACGAAATATAAAAATATCAATTAGTATCAATATGTTATTTTATTTCTGAATGCAGCTAATGGGATAGATAAATTTTTTCTGACGTGTTAGAACTACATTATTAATGATCTATAACTCAAGCCTGCATTTTTATGGTATTCAATATTCCTTTCACTTATCTTCAAATCAAACGTCTACATCGAACTATGAAGTGTATATCTTGTTGCATATAAACTGGACAAGGTGATAAAATGTTTTTAATTCATTATAATATTTATTTCTCCTGTGCATATAAAAAAAATTTCAAATAAACTCGTAAACTGGAAGAAAAAATGTAAACTAGATCAAACCATAAGGAAACTGTCACTTTTTTTTCTTTCTTTTTTTTTTTTTTTTTAATTATATTGTCGACCTTCGATCATTCAATGATTTATGCATCGAGATATCGCTTATTCCTTTTTAACTTCATTTAAAATTACAGACAGGCCAATTACTCCATATTCATCGGCAAAAATATCTTTTTCTTTTTTTTCTTTTTTTATCGATAGAAAATAAGATCAATCGCGGTGCGTAACTGCCTACTTGTGACTACACACAATTTTCGCAATATTAGATCAATTAAAACGGTATTCCCACTTGGCCTGGTACACTGGTAACTTGGTAAACATTACCGCCACAGTAAAGTAAAAATCACGGTCATCGCTTACGCGCCTCTCGAATACATACCCGTTGCAAGAAGTCATTGTTGAATTCAAAAAAAAAAATAAGTAATCGTACGATCTTGTTTCTTGATTTACAGCCAGAAGAGGCAGCACCATCACCACCACCACCACCAGCAGCATCAGAATCAACACAGCCAACAACAACAACAACAACAGCAACAGCAACACAAACACCAACAAAATCACCATCAACAACAGCATCAACATCAGCATCAACATCAACAACAGCATCAACATCAGCACCAACACGCCTCCTGGCACAGGACCACCTTGGCGTCCTGACCACTGTGACCTTGACCCTGACCACAGGTCGAGTAGTCCTGATAAAAGAGAGGAGAGCGCATTCTTCTTCCCGCCGCTGGCCGAAAGCCGATCGATCGAGTCGCGACCGCCTCTTTCGCGGTTCGATATTCGAGAGAAGAAGAAGAGGAAGAAGAAGGAGGAAGAGGAGGAGGAGAAGGAGGGAAGGAGGAACCAATCAAAACCGCCGTCAAATACCAAAAGAATGCTCCACACGACCGGTGTTCCTACAAACTTTGAACATTCTCTTCGACCTATTCACCGCGATACTCTTCGTCGAAATACCTTCTCTTTGATCATCGTCGCTGCACAAATTTCCACGATAGTGAACCGCCATTGCTGTGCTCATCGTGATTTCCTCTCCACGGAGAACTCTCTCTCGCTCTTTCTCTCTTTTCTTCTCCGTCTATTCCATTTTCTCTCTCGCGAGTCCGTTTGTAGAAGACTCCTCCGCGTACGATCATCTTCGTAGAGTTTCGTCGATTCTTTCTCCCCTATTTTCTTTCATTCGTTTCATACACACACACACACACACACAACAAAAGAAGAAAAAAATATCGTTACAAAGATTTGACTTCGACCGACATAACCTCTCGGATATCGTAAGATTATTCTACGAGGCGTAGAAACTAATAGAGAAGAAAGAAGAGAGAGAGAGAGAGAGAGAGAGACTCGTTTCTCTTGGTAGAACAGGATTTTTCCATTCGTCGTGAATCTTTATCGCCTCATTGAAACGATTGTTTGGTAGAGATACATATGTTATTTCCCTTTTTAGAATTTGCATTTTCGACTTGGAGCTTTGAAAATTCCTTTTTCTCGGAAAATCTCGGTTACAACTCTCCTTTTATCGATTTATCTCTCTCAATCCGGGTTGTTTAATCATACTTTGCGAAAGTTGATCAAGTTTATCAACGGTATGCGCAATGAGCGAGCGCCGTGACGAAAATTATCGTATCGTATCACAGATAGTTTGAGATTATCGTTTAAATTTTTCATCGTGTCGATCTGAATCGATGAATGCTTATCTTTTCATTTCTTTTCCTTTTCTTTTTCTTCGAAGAAGAAGTAAAATATTATATATATCGCATCGAATTGAAAGAGTTCGAAGACTCTCGTTCTTTGTCCTTCTTCGTGAAACAGTGTGAGTATAAATATGACTCATTCGTTCCTTCTAGAAGAAATAGATCGATCCAAGTTGTAGCGAGTAGCAAAGAAGAAGATGAAAAAAAAAAGGTATTTAACCGCTAAACGATAGGGTGTTAAGATTGTAATAGAGATAGAGGCGCGCGGAGAGCAGAATGTAAATAAAAGTTCGCGTGTTTATCGTGATGTGTAAGAAGTATAAGTGCAATGTATCATAAGTGAATGTAATTTCATAGAATTCCGATGGAAACTGTACAATACGTATCTGTGGGCGAAGCTTGCATAAAGATGCGCGTTGTCTTTGAGAGCACAGTGAGATCGTTGTTTCCGTTTCCGAACAAATTTCGCATACGTTCGCCATCGCCCTTCCACTCGTGCGGCTTTGAAATATTATACTGCGAGTATTACGTCAAAAAATTCGTTCGTTTCGCGTCCATTTTAGTTAGTTCAATTTATAACGAATATGTTCGCGATTTTAAGTCGTCAAATAAGATTGGTTATCGTTTTAATTAATCGTTGCTTAGAGGAAACAATCGTCGAGATCAATTGTGTATTATTTATAAACGAGAATCGTTTAAAACCCTCTACGGTAAAATAGTAATTTTTGTTGTTGTTGGGGAAAAGAAATGATAGGCACAATAATTGGAGATGGATAAGAAGTAACAAGTAAACACGTTAAATAAAATAATCAATAATATCGTAGAGGGGTTATGATCAAATTGGACGATTCTCGCCGTTCGCGTACAACCTAACCTAAAAAGTTGATTCGAAGCCGATTGTAATAACCTCTTCTACATTTTGTTTTCGTTGTTTTCCACGAGTCGTGTAATCGATAATTTCAATATTGTTGTTGTTCAAGCATTGTTAATTATAATTATTTCTCACTATAAATAACTAACTTTTCTCGAGCAAGGTGGCAAGTGATAATGCATATAAGCGGCGCAACGTGCAATAGTTTTTAATTCGATCATTTCACATGAATCGTCACGGCGATCGTGAACCCTTCTCACGATCCTTACAGAGGAGACAATTAATGCGATACGAATGCGATCGTTTATATTCTGTATCCAGTGTCGAGTTTACATGCAACTTAATTGAAACACAAATCTTGATTGCGTTGAACGTTTTTGCAAATTAATGTGAGAATTTAATTTAGCACGATATGAGAGAGGAAAAAAAAAAACGTGAATAATCTCGATATATCATTGTCGATAATTTAAGAATTTGTTGTTGAAAGATAAATTAGTTGAATTATTTATCCGCGATTTTGCGGATTTATTTTAAAATCGAAAGTTCAAACTCGAAAGGGAACGGGAATTCCATCTTCCCAAGTATCTTAAGCGCTTAAAAAATCAATAAACCCAATGCTTTCGTATCGCCGCTCACGAAGAACTTAATATAGCTATGACTAATTAGGTCAAATCAATTTTTTTATAATCTACATCCGTTAAGGTTCAAACTGTTCCATGAACTAGTTTGTCTAACAATATTATTCTTCGTGATATATATATATATATATTTATAATTTATTAACTCGTGCGAATATTAAATATCAGGCAAAATGTAAAGAAGATGGAAGGACGAATTGTTGAATATCGATTTAAATTCGGCTTTTTATTATTAAGATATATATATATATATATAACCAGTTTAATTAAACGAGAGAGAAAGTCTCTGTCATCTCATCCTATAATAAACATCGTGTTATTTCCGCGTTCTATCGAATCTTCTCGAAGTGCAGAGTATTTTGTTCATAAAAAGATTTCGAATTATCGATTATCTGAAAATTGATTTGCTTTACTCTCACGCGTAAACTCGGCTATGATAAATCGGATTACGAATCATTACCTTATACGATCACGATTAAGTATCGAAAGAAAAGAAGAAAGAAGGAAAGAAGATGTGACCGTGCGCGCGTCTGAAGTGACGAAAACGGGTGCTATTCGATAGTTAAAGAAAAAAAAAAAAAAAAAAAAAAAGAAAAGAGAAGAACGATAAAAGTATTTCGGTGAACAAAGGGCAAAGGAAGAAGCGTATATAGATAGATCTTTTAGGTAGAGAAAATATTTTGCATAATGGATACACACGAACCATGTAACGAGATATCCACGAGATCCGAGTGTATATCCTATGCATTCATGCGGAAAAAAGAAAAAAAAAAAGAAGGAGCTCCTTAAAATGTTTCTCGATATTTGTCGAGGTTCGTTTGCGAGTTTTGATTACTTTATTATTATCTGTATATTTTAATTATTGCGATCGAAAATATTCATGATCACGTTGAAGGAAATTTTTCCAATATGTAGATAATTGAATTTGAACGATAAATTCAATTTCTCTCGTTAGAATTTGTTATTTCTTTTAATTTGTACAAACGTTTTGAAATGGGCCGTGTATATTTATAGCGAAGATCGATCATCGACGTCATTTCCACTCGAGTCTGACAAAGTGTACGTACGTATCGTTAATAAAATTATTCAAATCCTTAGTTTTACCCGGAACAGAAGAAGAAGAAGAATTATATTATACCGTGTGTACATAGGATAACAATTCGTTTATCGCTTTAGAACGAAATTAATAAATCCGTTTTTAAATTGTTCGACGCACGCTCCTGAAAATGATTATGTCTAAATATATATATATATATTGATTAAAAATGCGTGAATAGAATGTCGGTTCGATTGTAGAGAGACTCGCAAATGTGTAGAAGTCGGCAAATACCGAGAAAGACGATCGTTGTCAAAGAGAATTCGATTAAAACTCGACTGCGACTGGAATAAGAAAAGGAAAAGAGAGAAAAAAAAAGAAGAAAAACCCGACATCGATACGGGACGAGGTTTCAATAAACGGAATTGTATACTATTAAATGCGCGTATCTCCAAAATAGATGATGCAATTCGATGTCCGATTATATGTTCCCGATTTGCAGTTAACAGGTTGCCGTATATCATTCTGTTTTCCTAACGAATCATACTTTCCATGATTTATGGATGAAGGAAACGTTCTGTATCACGCAAAGTCAAACGAGCGCGTTAAATAATTCAACAACGTTCCATGTATGCTACATTCTTAACGAGTGTATGAAGAACGTAAACGTTGTCTCGATAGAAATGTGCAATATCTCTCTCTCTCTC